GACCGGTGATTGTTGCGTTTTTAAATTCCTCCGGCGTAGTGTGGACGGAAAACGTTTGATGCGTTTTTAGAGTGAAACCTCCGTTTTCAAATTCCTTTTGTGTATAGTGTGGACAGGGCCTAATAATCTACTGGTCTAATACGAGAACTGCACGAAGGTTCCCTGAAGAACGAACAATCGCGATTTTAATTTCCATACAATTCTAATTTTTTTTGTGTGGATTTATCTTATGTAACATGCCTTAATCACGCGGTTTATCACCTGATGTTTACGACTGCTTGAAGATTCCCTGTAAAACGAACAATCGCGACTTTAATTTCCATACAATTCCAATTTTTTTTGTGTGTGTGGATTAATCTTATGTAACATGCCTTAATCACGCGGTTTATCACCTGATGTTTACGACTGCTTGAAGGTTCCCTGTAAAACGAACAATCGCGATTTCAATTTCCATACAATTCTGATTTTTTACTTGTGGATTAATCTTATGAAACATGCCTTAATCACGCGGTTTATCACCTGATGTTTACGACATTCCGCAAGTTTGTGAAAGCTAATAAATAAACTTCAGTTATGCAGAGCTTTACAAGACGACAGACCAATGTTGGCAACCTATATATTGCAGGATACATGTATCTATTGTGTACGTCGACAAACAATAAGGACTTCTTGAAAATGTAAGAAATTTGTTGAAAATACGATAAATAAACTGTAGGGCGTGTTTCTCTGAAAGCAAATAAGAGAAAGAAGGGGTGGCGGAAGTAGGGGGTCTTCACAGAATCCCTCGGATTTCTTCTCCTACTATCACTTCGTGCGTGCTCAAAATCTCGTTTACATATAGACCACTCCTACTGGTAAATGACACGGAGCTATGAAACAAACCCTGGTCAAATAAACACAGACTTCTATTCTTGTAGCATGTTTAATTTTCTTACTTCAAGAAAGATTCCACACCATAACATTTAAAATCATGTTTTTATTTTACAAGAAACACATTGCTACAGGTCACACTAGTTCAAACCCTTAAAGTCCAACAATGATATAATTCCTAACTTCTCTTAACACCTTGTTGTAACGGATCAAGTAAACAGGTAATGAGAATACATAACCTCATCATCACATGCAACACTCCTTGATAAAAAATCAATTTCTCTCAAAGAGAATGATTGCAATTATGTGAAAAAGTTAGGAGAATTACAAACAAACAGGATAAGAAGTAACTTAATCCTTGCAGTTCACAGATGCACACACATTCAGTTAGTCAAATTGCATTGCAATCCATGCACAAAAACATCAAAGAGAAGTTATTTGGACCACTTGATCCACTGGTAGTTATCTGGTAAACTTGGATCATCTTCCTGTTAAAGTATTTTGAACAGCTAAATGAGTACCTTTTGCTCAGAAGGTGTCAAAATGTGGCAAGAATATCAGTGACATAATCGGCTATTGCATTGTGTGCCACTTTTCTGTTCTTACCACATTTTGACATCATCAATGGGCCACCTTGGCTAAATAAAGTTTGACTTACTTCTTTCTATATGTGATTAATTACTCAACAGACACATGACAACATGGAAACCATTTTGTTAAATAAATGTTCTATTTGGAGCAAGCTGCAACTTTCAATTCAAATTTATTTGAGCAAGTTGCCTCCAGGTGTAAAATAATACCACTTGGGTATCAAAGGGGGAGAAAAGATTGCCCGCTGGCCTCTGGATCTAATTTTCTTGGTCTAACTGGTCCATTCGTAGGTCCTAAGCTGGGTTGATTTATATGGTAGGATTTTGTTTGTTTACTTTATGACGTAAAGGTGATGTTACTCCAGCCAATTTGTAACTTTAATTTTTGATCCAATGTTGTTGCGTTAAAAATTGATGTGGTGTAACATGGTGCACAGAGTGACTTGTATGCAAAATTTCATTGCGGCAACATGTTGCAGAACATTGTTGCCTGAATTTACAATGTTGCATCAAGAATTGTCTTGAGTAACATACTGCTGTTTTGTGTAACATCGATGTAAAATCAGCATTGAAAATCAACATGTGTAACATCAGCTTAAGACCCATGTGCAGGACTTTGATGTCACAATCATCAGAAAGTAGGTTTCATTTAGTCAATACAACTTGTCCAGCCAGCAAGTGCATGTCAAAGTTATTTTGGAAAAATCACACCATCTAAATCAGCCTTTCAAATCATACATTGCACATATATACATAAAAGTTGTAATCGCTCACCTTAGCATACTTAGCAAAACGCTGAGATAGGATGTGTCTGTAGGGTTTCACATAGCGTCTCTGAAAAAAAAAAGGGAATTACAAATCAATAGAGTGCAACAATGGTACACAATGGTGGTGGTTGATATAAGGGTTAACATGTATATTGGAGAGAATACACAAAGGGATTAGAAGATGTAAATTAATAATTACTGATGTCAGTTTTTCATGCTACTATCATGAATTTCATTATAACCCAAAGCCGAGGACCTTCGATGTGGCCTTTAAAATTTTGGCGTGTACCGTTGTACAATTAAAGTTTTTCGCATAGAGTGACATGCACACTCAGCGTTTTTCCATGTTTTAATTTGTGAAATTGTTGCCAGGACAACATGAGAAATGGCATTTCCAAGCCCCTAAAAATAAAACTTTCCTGGGAGACTCTACTGCCAGACCCCTCTGGCAGCTAGTGCCTCCAATGCTCAATAAATTTTCTAGTCTGTGTGTACTCCACAAAATTGAATGCTACGCCCCTGTTTCAAGGTGGCATTTTTATAACATTCTTTGGGGTAGTACTTTGCATGGCTACTTGCCAGGAGCATGGACTGGAATTTAAAAAGCCGTGGCATATTGTTGGTGTGGAAGTTGTGCAGAATGCACCCTTGCATAACATTGTCAAAGTAGCTGTGGATCCACGACGTCATAGACATTGTTATGACAACATTTATCGTCAATAACTGGCCAGACTCAGGAAAAATTGACGTCAGTTTATTCTTTTACAAAAATGTTATCGTATAAGTTATAAATTCCTGTGTCTGTCCGCTTATTGACAATGAAAATTAGCTAATGAGCGTGCAAGAATTTCTGCAGTTATTGTAAAAAGGGGCCTTCTCAAGATTTGCTTACCTCTCTAGACCAACTGATCATTGCAACGGGAATCTGCAATACAAAGACTACCGCCAAACAAATAGCTGTATTTCTCTTCCAGTTACGTGGGTTACACCACCATCCACCGGTGGGGGACCACACATACTTCGGGTAATCAAACTTCTTTACCCCACCCTAGTTGACAGAACAGACCAAAAATGATTAAACTACATAGCCAGAATGTTAAGAATCCAGAAATTAAAACGAAAACGTAAAATTTTTAAGCCTAAAGTTGAAAAACACAAACCATTTCCACTCTTCTCTTCTAAGGTGGACTGAGTAACCATGCCTTTGGTTTACTCGCAATGGTTTGTGGGATTTATTTCCCACAGTTCCTTGGTTTCAGATGACGCATGCTTGGACGCTTCGCCGCTAACAAATTTTCAAAGATGGCGGAGGCAGCGGAATTGGTAAGGTTGCGTGATAAAATAATTTAATCACACATTTGTTATCTGCCTTTAACACAGCAAAATTATTCATGAAATTCCTAGGAAGGTTCCTTCATCGGTCAGTGTCGTTCTTTGATCGTTTCCTGTCGCTAAAGATTTGTTATATACAATGTTTACGTTCACTTGTCAACTTGGAAAGCGGTGTTTCGAGTTTTTTCAAAATCGGAAGTTGCTCAAATTTTTGCGATCTATGTGTAGCGTAACGTGTATATTTTCTTTCGAATTTTTACAGTCCCCTAAAGCCCAAACGGACGATACAGGTGAGTTTTTAACGTTATAAGCTGCCTAGTTTGTCAAAATGTTCAATTGTGAAACATTTTTCTAACACTACAGGCTAGCTAGCTGCTAATTAAAACGGTAAGCTTATTACAATTATTGTATTTTCTTCTTTGATACCGTTGTTATTAGGTGACTCAACAGACCAGGAATATGAAATCACAGCTGATATGATGGTACATGACATGGACGATGAAACGACCATGGATGAGGAAGAACTAATGGCTGATAAAGAGGAATTTAATGAAGATGAATTGTCAGAACTGCAAAAGGTTAGTGCGTGTAAAATGCCAAAAAAGCATTTTTCAAAAAAAAAAATACTCATCATTTTTTACATATTACTTTACAACTGATTATTTTTACCAAAAAAAACCTTGAACAATTGTTTTTTTTTTGTTTTCAGATTTTTAATTCTTCAGATGTTAAAATGACACATTTAATTTAACATCATTTTAATTTATTCTTGCTCCTTAGTTGTTATAATGGAAAGTGATTCTGAAATTTTTTCCATCACATTTGGAGCCCTATTATAAATCCCCATTATAAATTCATGCTTTACACAAATGGTGCAACTCCATCAAGGATGATTATAACACATGTAGTTGATTAAACAAGTTTTATTAAGTTTGCTCAATTGTGGTGAATAAAGGATTTATTGTCCAATATTTAATAATGTATTGTGTTCACAGAAAAGTGTATATACATAATTCATTTATGTGTTTATATATAATAATTCAAAAGGCTTTAAATTATCTTTGAAAACGTTCAGTAATTTTTATAAACTGAACATTTTTTATAATAAAATAACACTACCGGTATATTTTTTATGCTACAATTTTGTAGCCTCTTACATATATCATACAATGTACTCATGTATATTAGCACTAAGGAAGTGTTTAATTTTCAGTTTTGTTTTGCTTCTGTAGCTATTCCTTACATGTACTTTAACTAAACTTAATATATCTCTCAGTTACCATGCAAGCTGTGATTGATCATTTACCTGGCCCTTTTCTACTGTACGGCCTGTTAATTTTTAAAACTGCTTTTGGTAATTTAAATTGTGTATTAAAACATTCTAACCATGTAACACCAATTTCATTTATTGACTCATTTTTCTTTCAACTTTCATAAGAAATTTGGAGCTGTTCTGTGTGAATGGAAATTGTTACCTGAACCCATCAGACACACAGTAGAGATAAAATAAATATCTTACCAACCTTGTCTTCTTGGTCTGTACCGTAAGTTATTGGTCCTTGTTTTTCCCCTTCGATTTATGGCCTCCGCGCTTTGCAAATTTGGCCATAAATCAAAGCGAAAAAACTTGGTCCGTAAATGTCAGTACGGACTTTGAACTCGGTTAGTAAAAGGTATATATCACTGTTTTCATATTATCATTTTTTTACGTAACAAGGAACGTGACATGCCTTTAGAGGACCTGCTAGCTCTTTATGGATACTCAGATGATGCCAACCCTGAGGCTGATGTACCATTGGATGAAATCAAGCCAGACCCACTTCCACCTTTGATCGACGCACGTGAAATTGATCCACCCCATCCTGCTGTAAATCCATTACTTGAAGAAAATATTTTACCAGAGAATACAGATTCACCAGCACCTCCAACCCCAGACTCCCCCCTGTCAGTACCATCACCGAGATCCCCACAGTCCCCTCCCTCTCCACGAGCAAGTCGAGACAACAACTTTTTCCCTGAAAACCAAAGAATAACCAGAGGATGTAAGTACTCTGATATTCCCCTAAAGAAAGGTTTATATCAGTCTGTAGCTGGATTCTGGCTGATAACAGTGCTTGTTGTCTATAGCTTTTGAAATAATAATGAATGCACATGGTCCAGACAAAAAATTAGGACATCTTGTCATTAAACAGACTTGGTAGTTAGTTGGTGAAGTGTAAAACTTATGCTGTTGTTGTTGTTGT